AGAATCACTTTTTCTAAAGCAGGAAAGCTTTGAGAATTAGCCTTATGACTTGATTTTTAAAATCTATAATATGTAGAACAGTTATGGAACCTGAAAGCCAGTTGTACTCAAAACTATTTTAATATTTATCTTTTTCAATCCATACTTAAGTGTTATAAGACAAATGATGTAAAAAATGCAGGAATGCATAAAAGCTGAGAATGAGGAATAATACTGAGGTATTTGTACAAGGCACCGTTTGATGTTTTGTTGTTAAATACACACTCACTAACCAATATAACTTGTCCTTTGCTTTTTCGGTCAAAAGCAATTGTGACCAAGCTTTTTGAAATGGAAGTCAGAAACCACAAATTTAAATTTATTATTTATATTTGTGGACAATCATCCCACCCAAAAAAGAGTAGCTTCCTAAGTCCTCACTCTCCCATGAATTTTGGAACTTATTCCTTAAATAAACTCTTCTCATTTCCATATAATTATAGCAACTAAGGAGATCTCTTTCAAAAGGATAGAAAAAATATTAGTTCAAACTTTAAGGCTATATTAATGACTTTGTTAGGTGAACTGATTAAATTTGAAATTTGGCTTCTTAAAATAAGAATGTTACATAAATTTAAAAGAGAACTGTCTTAAGAGCGAAACTTTTACTGTTTTTAAGCTCTCTTAGATTTCAAGTCCCTTTGTATGACCCTTTCTGGCAGTATTCACCCATCACATTCTCCATCTCTGTTATATATTAATTTATTGCATGTCATTGAAGATTCATTTGTAAAAAATATAATGGCAATGACTTCAAAAATTAAAACGGGAAATTTAAACATACAAGTTCTTTCCTAATCATTCTGTCCCCCTGTCAGGCACAGGGAAGATAGAAACATCTCCTGAGTGTAGAGAAAGGCTCTAGTGGACCTAATTCCCCATAACAGATCACTCACTACAAACTAATTAGAAGGAGTTAAATGTTTCCACTGAACACTCTAAAAAAGAGAGATGTTTTTCTCTGCTGCCTGCTGCTTTCTGAACATTTCCTTCCTCATAACCTTGCCTTTTAACTGTGTTTCTAACATACTGCTTTGGAGGTGAAACTTGATGGTCCAGTCACAACCAAAAGTGTAAATGCTAATGGAAGAATGTTCTAAGCATCCAGGGGAAGAACAAGGTCTTTCTCAGACAGTACAAATGTGTCTATTATAGGCAGGGGAATAAGATTCTTGTTTAGAATTGTCTTAGTTATTGTATTAGAAGATTCCTCAATAAAGTACTTTTTATTATGACAGACACAGCACTAAATATTTTTCCTACTTTTCTTACTCATTTTAAAGGAGACAGCTGACCTATAATTAACACCAAGCTGAACTTGAGGGGCTTACTCTCATTTTCTAAATTTTGCTTGCCCTTTTCTCTAGGTTTAATTAATATGCTATTAATAGCAACATTTACAGTGAGCATTAATATTTGTCTCATTTCTGCTCATTTGTTTAATATGTATAATTTCATTTTTTTTTTTTCTGTAGCATTTTCTCAGGGTCAAATTCTCCACAGTCTCTATTTGCTTGAAACAGGCCTGAATAAACATACTGATTTGGGGCTGCACAGTATTTCCTAGGTCCAACCAACTTCACATTTTCCCCCTGATGGCAAAAGGTAAGGCATGCATGTCTCTGGCAAACCACTGGCGATTTGAGTAGCTGGCATGACCACTGTCAACGACTCACCACTTCATCAGCAGAGGAGAGTGTCAGGCCAGATGGGAAGGGGCAGATGATTTGGACGTATGGTCCTCAGAACTGGGGAGAGTGTACAGTTATAACCTTCTGCCAGGCACTGAGCGACTGCCAGGATGCACTCAAGCAAAGAACCTGCCCTTCATACCAGCATACTCTGGTACACTGTAACCTGGCAGCACTGCCTGTTGTAATGACAACCACACACAACCTCACTTCCTTAATCTGGGAAGAAGTTTCCCAGCTGTTTTGCTTTTATTTTTGGATAAATTATTTATGGCTATTCATCCTTGGCACATGTAAATTTTAACTGTGTAAAATATTTATTGGGGTGGGGAGGGTAACTTCACAGTATTTATTGTTTTCCCCTTGCTTTTCCAGTAAGTCTCCCTCAGGATGCTGACTGGGGTTTTCCCTGCTCCTTTCTCCCTGTGAACCTTATATTTAACTCCAAGTAATGAATGCAAGATCAATACAATAAGTAACAAAAGTATCCACGGTGACTGAACAGCAAACTCTTAAATCACTGCTCAGTAAGGACAAAGGAACAATTATTGAAAACACTGCACTAAAATCTCAATAGGAGATAAGAGTGAAGCTTAAGTCATTCAAAGGGTCCATTAGTCTTGTAAGACTGGGACAACACACTCAAAACACGAACTGGAAATATTCCACATTCCACCAGCTTGCACACACACACACACACACACACACACACACACACACACACGACTCCAGCTGTGCTAGGACAGGATCCAATTCTCAGTCCCTAAGGAGAAAGAGGCTTAAAGAGAAGTAGATAGGCTGAGCGAGCAACTACTCTTCAGTTCTATTTGAAAGGGAGTACCACCTGACTAGTCAGATTATTTCTAAAGGAAGTAAATTCCTGCTTTCATATCCATTCACCTGGTACCAGAGCATCATCATGCTCTCCATCACTCCCTGCTAGTGACACAAATAAAAGATTTCTGACTCCTCTACCCCATTTCCACAAATCACCAGAAAAGCTCAAGAATGCAGCCCCGCTTCCCATTTGTCCGTTTTCCCTGACTTGATAAACCAGTTGCAGTCGAAAAATGAAAAAAATAATGGTCAACCAGTTTGCACAGCGAAAGCACTGTTTTGAAAAATTACCTGAAATAGATGAAATATTAGATACACACAGATACACATATAGATGCACATATACACATACATATATGTATGCACACACACACCTATATAGTCTCAGAGGTTTGCAAACATTAAAATTCTATTGGATTTTTAACATGCCTGTAAGTGTTCTACACAACACTTTTTACCTTAGATCTTGGACATCACATTTTATTACAGACAGTTGGGCTTCCAGATTTCTGGATGTCTAACAACTAGAGTGAGGGGCTGCATAACATAACCTGAAATAAACACCATACTGAATACACATGATTTCTTCCAGGAATAGAAAAACATTCTCATGGTAGAATTATGGTGAGACTGAACCATGTTTGTGACACAGAGGGCAACTTTAGCCTTGCCTTTCTAAGAGCATAGTTCCATCTTAAGTAAGCAGGACATCACATTTCAATTTGTACTATTAAAAACTTGCATTGCACAATGAAACTAATTACACTGTGATTCATCCTGCTTCGTAAGACAGCTGGACTAGGATACATATAATAACATAAGCTAGCCCAACAAACAGTTTTCCAGTAGACACACAATGATCCAGTACAGCATGGACGACCTCTGACTAGTACTTTTAGACGCCACTGGTTCTCTGGCTAACCCTACTTGCTCACCACAATCGTATAAGGAATTCTTGCTAGAGCCTGAAAACTTAAAACTAAAATTAAAATTTTCTTCATCACCCCTCAATATCATTACAAATCCAAAATTTTATTTTATCCAAGACATATTATCTTTATAAATACATGCATGACAAACACTGCTCTATTAATTGCCAACAAACGATCTTACCACCTTCATCACTACTCCCAGGAAAAAGGTGTTGCTTCACTCTGGATTCTGCTTAAATTTAACTATGAAGTCAGGATTGTTTCTTTCAAATCAATTTTGGATATTTCAAGACATCTTTTCTAATATGACACAAATTATGGGGAAATCAAAACTGCTGTCAAGGCAACTAAAGGCATTTAGCTTTTGCAACTTGAGCTCCTTCCATACTTTCACAAATGTTTCAAAAGCTCAAGAAAACAAAACAAAGCAAATAACACACACGAAGATAAACACCCAACAAACTAATAGTGCCCCAACCCAAGCACATCTAAATACTTCTCTAATCTGAAAGAAGTCTCTAGATTTAACATTTAAAGCAGTCCAAGAATCACTGGGAACATTTGCATTTTAGAATCATCCCTAGCCCCTCTCCAGTTTCTCTCACAAATCTTTTAATATCAAATAAGATTCCCTTAATGATGGCACCAGATAGGACTTACAGAAGGAAAGCATAACTTCTAAGACAAGGAGAAGATATTCGGTCCAAATCCTTGGTTTCTTCTTATTTAGCGAAGGGCTTTTGCTTCTCTCCTAGCAGTAAGTTGCAGCGTTACAGAGTGCAAACGCACAGCTCCGAGCCCACTTACAGTGCTCAACTGAGAGCCCAGGTCTAAGCCTCAACATGCTTTCTGGAGATGCAGGCAGCTGAGCTCAAAACCTAAGGGAGGCTTCCACTGTGGCACAAAACTAAACCACACAAATATTTAACAGCTCTGAGACCTCTAAAGGTTTAAAATAATATGCATTTTGTAGAAGGCTGCTCTTAGCAAAGGGAGCACCAGGATGGTATGGAGGAGCGTTCTCAGCGACTCAACCACCGCTCACTACGGGAATGTTCTCCTTTGCTGACAAGAGAATTAGGGAAAAAACCCAATGATTAAAGAAACGTTCATAGCGACTAAGCTTCCACAGCATCAATAGTACAGGAACTCTGTTTCACATTCCGTTAAGTTAGCCCATGCCTTCCCACGCTGCACCATTTCTCCTCTTCACCTAGCTTTTCTAAAAAAGCCAACTTCATGCCCACAACGAAGGCAAAGTTTATCCACCCCCAGCCCTGTCTCTCTTCTTTTCCAACTTAAACTCACCCATGGCTAATTAGCAGCCCCAACTGTAGCACAAAGGAAGCTTTGAAAGCCGCACCAGCGTGGTTCCCCAGTTGCCAACTGGAGGTAGGCTTCATGTAACATTCTCGCAGCTTAAAGATTATTTTTTAAAAGCTCCTCTGCCTGATGAAGAGCCGGGCACCCCCAGAATTACATCACCAGAGCGAACACTTACCAAAATACATTATGTTTCTCATTAATCAGACAGCTGGAACCCCACCGCAGCGGCGTCTTCAGCCTCAGCTCGCACCCCAGGCTGACACTCCGAGCAGAGCCGTTTCATGCTACACTCGGTGGAAACGTCTCCAGCGCGGAGAGCAGGAGCGCCGAGCGTGCCTGCTCCGTGGGATGAGCGCTTCGCAGGCTGCCTTTCCAGGGCTATGATCCCCGGCCGCTGGAGCGTGCACTCAGGCTGCCTGCTGCGCTGCCCATCCTTACTGTAACCCGACTCCTCCTTGCGATGTCCTTGCCGCGCCTGTGACATCAGGACTGAGAGTACTACAAACAGAGCCCCCACCCCACCTCACCCCACCCCCGGGTAGCAGCCGATCCAGGAGGTGCTCGCTCGCCGGCCTGGACCTACCGTGGCTCTCGGGAAGCTGACTAGCCGGAGACTTGGGAGGGGGCGGAGTGAGGGGCGCTCGAGACTCTTAAAGAGAGAAGGGGCCCAGCATCCACCCGGGGAAATTCAGCAGTGTGCTGGAAGGAACCTGGGTGAGGTGAAATCTGCCATTAACGTGCAGTTAGACACACTTTTATCTCGCCTCTCCTCTGAATGCAATCATCCTCACCCAAAATTTAGTCTCCCCTACCAAGTTGAAAAGGCAGTAAAGAGAGGGGGATTGTGCTGTGTGCCTGCTTTCTCTGCTGTAAGCTGGAGGGTTTGTTGTTACTGTTTGTGATCTTTATTCATAAAAAGAATGAGAGAGAAACTCAAGGGATTATTGTGAATGTAATAATGGTTTTGAATTAGAAGAGATCAGCTCATTGTAAGCTAGTAGCTGCCAAAGAGTAATTTTTATTTTTTGAGTTTCCTGAGTTACTTTCATAGAGTGACATAAAGAAAAATAGCTGGTGATAAAAGTGACCTCCCAGTTTTCACACATCACATTTGCTACCTCCCTTAGTAGGTAACAGAAAGCACACTGATGGTGAAATGATCTTTAACCCCATAAAGGGGAGAGACATTTAATTTGAAAGGTAACCAAGACTAAATGTCATAATTCAAGACCAGTCAACATAATATAGCCACACACACACACACACACACACACACACACACACACGATAAGAGATGAACAGTAAGAAAGGCAAAGCTTAGCAAAGTCTCTGGCTCCTCCAATGTATAATGAATTGCAGTTCTTATCTTATAGAAAAGGATTTTAAAAAGAAATCCCTGAAAACTGGGCTGATTAATACTTAAATGCTCAGCATGGAAAATAAACTCCCATAGCAAGTTTTGTTTCCTAAGGACTCATCAGTTTGGGATCAAATTTACCTACTAGACCATTTAAATTTAAAATGTCTATAAAAATGTATGAAATTAAGAATTGAAGATAAACAAAGAACTGCAGCCTCTGGAAGAAAGTAATTGGTATATTTTTAATCTGGGCTTTTATAAACCATATTAGCAAACAATGCTGCATTTTGATATTAAAATATTCAATGGTGTTTCCTTACACAAGTTTATATCTGTTGGTGAGTTTTATGTGTATTGGAGCTAAGGGGCTGAAGCTTATAATAACACCTTTCTGCGGAATGTTGCAAAAAAGCTTAACCCCTACTTCCCTTTCGGTGAAGAGCACTTTGACTGATACCCTCTCTCACAATGTATTATACAGGATTGGGTGAATGTGAATAGGTAATCAAAATACAAATCAGATTCACAGTGAATCCTAAGATAAATCTAGTATAGTACTGTTCTTTTAGAAATAGCCTTCATTTAAAGCAATTTGGAAGAGGAAAGTTTAAGTAGTAAGTTGAATTCACATTTTCATTCCTTTTTAAAATTAAAAACTGAAAACAATGTTACAGGCAAATACTGAAGAAAAAACCCATAAGTGCCCCCCCCCACCATGGAAATCCTCCAAAAGAAATCCTCCAAAAGTACAGTTAAGGGCCCTTCCCTCAGGCAAAAGAACCATCTCTGTCGGAGCTTATTTATGGGCCCATTCAGCTGCACTGATCTCCTAAGCGAGCTAGGGGGCACTGTAGTTTAATGTTACAGTTTTGGTCCACTTGAGTTCCTGTAGTTAGAGGATACAATTCTTGAGAGTTGAGATTAAACCAGGCTATTTGAAACACTAAAGGTCTAGCTTCATCATTAATAACACTTGCATTTTATGAGGATTTTTTTCTAACGACTTTGGATACAGGAACGTAGATATTATTGATGCCACAGAGATATTAAGCAATGTTCTCAATAGTTAGGTTAGTAAAGAACTATTCTTTGTATGTTGATTTTATGTTAGAGTCCTCCAACAGGCTTCCTTACTGGAATGTGACATTTTATACATGTATAATGGCTCAGGTAAAGGTTTTTCCCACTAAAAGTATGTCATTGTATGTTCTGTAAATATATACCATACACGTAATGAATTTATAGGTACAGAGTATTTGGTTTTAGAATGTGGGGACCTCTGCTTGGACTGTTGAGATTATACTCCAAAGAGCAACATGCAGCCATTGCAGGAGGAAGTTTTCCATCCAAGAGGCATTTGAGTGTTCTATCTGTACAAAATCGTCTTCTACCAAAAAGGGGAGGTACCCTTTTTATTTAAAAGTGTGCACCCCCACTCTGTAACATAAGATTGTCTCAAATGTCAAAACCTCAGACAGAACTTGCTTCCATCCGGGTGAAACAGGTGATTTTTTTTGTTTTAACTTTACTTTTTTCTGTTTAAAATTATTTGTACATATTACATTTATAAAGGAAAAATGAAATTATTTATTCCCTTTGACCAACATCCCTCTAATCCTTTCATCCCCTGGCTCTAGTAACTGCCATTTTGCTATTTCTATGAGCTCAAATTTTTTTACGCTACACATATAAGTGAGATCATGCATATTTGTCTTTCTGTGTGGGGCTTATTTCATTTAACAATATGTCCTCCAGGTTCATACATGTTGTTGTGACAGGATTTCCTTTTTTTTTTTTTTGGTACTGGGGATTGAACTTGGGACCTTGTGCTTGCAAGGCAGGCACTGAAACCACTGAGCTAAATCCCCAGCCCAGGATTTCCTTTTTTTAGGGCTCATCTATTGGATATGTATATCACATTTCCTTCTGTTGACACAGATTGATTTCATGAGTTATATTGTAATGAATGTCACAGTGCAGACATCTCTTCAACATACACTTTTTACAATGTGAAAGTATAATAACATCCAAACAAAACCACAGCTGATGATGGCTAGACATGGGGTTGTATACATGTCAACTGAGCCTGAGAGCTGTCCCTATGTACCACCTTAAGGGGGTGAATCAGGAATTTCTAGGGAAGGACCTGTTTTAAATCTCTGATCTTATATGACCCTGTTCCTAAGAAGCTCCCAGAACCTAGCTGTGTCCAAGAGAGAACCAAGTCAGTTCATCTGGGGCCAGCTGTGGCCTCAACCTGGCTTGATGGGAATACACTCATCACTAGTTAAACAAAGGGCATTCTCAAACTAGTTGCATATTTTAGAGTAAGAAACCTGGTTAAGTGAAAATTTTCTCTCTGCTCTAAGATCCATGTAGCTTCCTGGTTTGATTCCTCATCTCCTTTAAATTTTGCTCAAAGAGTCGTCAATATAGTCATTCCCTTCTCCTTTTCAGAGTTTTAAACTGCCCTCATCCCTCCTGTGGTATTTCCTGACCTCCTTCCCTCCCTTATTTTTCTCTGTAGCAATTCTCATCTGACACCTTATTATAGACATATGTTTATTTTTATTTCTCCACACTGGAGTATAATCTCCACGAGGACAGGGATTTTTGTCTGTTCAATGGGGTATTCACAGGCCTTAGAAGGATACCTCCTACTCAACAGATATTTGTGACTAGATGAATGAATGAATGAATGAGTATACTAAGTACAGCTGTACTGTGTGTAAAACATCAGACTTCTCTCTGTGCCTGCAGTCAGTTCTTCGAGGTTGATGGTGCTTTGTGCAAAGTGTTTACAAAAATTGAATTTGTCCATGCTTAGCAACAGCTGTTCTTAAATTCCATGCAATAGATGCCAGGTGGTACTGCAGACCACAGCTTGTGAGCTTGTTTGTCCTTTCAAATTCTCATAGCTGTATGAAGCAGCAATTTAGCATTGAGTTAGCATAGCCCAGTTGTGTCTTCCATTGCCTTCCCCTGAGCTTTAGTTTAGTTTGCCTTTATCTCTTATCTATATTGCAGCAATAAAAATTTACCGAATGCTGTTGACTCCATGCTTGCAAATATCCAATCCACTCTTCATATAGGTTCGATATTTTTAAAAAAGATATGATGCTACTCTCTTGCTTAATAGTTTCCATCCTCCCTCTATTGCAAAGTCTTATTTCTCCATTTGTGAATGTGTTATCTTTTATACTCTTCACTATAACTCTAATTTTACAGATAGAATTTCCCCCTGAATATTATATTCTCTTTCACTAATCTCCCTACTGGGAAAGTTCCTCGTTAATCTTTAGGTCTCTGTTCAAGTATTATGTGTCCTGAGAATACTTCCCTATCTATGAGCCCCAATATGGAGCTGCTTGTATTTTTTTCAAATGGCATACTACACTAATTCCTATCTAACACTTTAATATAGTGTGGGCATTTGCCTTTATCTGTCTGTCACTCAAATGAAACAGGATGCTCATTGTTGCCTTCATAATCTAAAGCAAATCAGTTATTTAATGAGTGAATTCATTATTAATTCGATTTTTAAAATGTATTCAATATCTTATTAATGTTGCCTACTATGTTCCAGACATTGTTCTAGATGTTGAATAAGGGACACTGCAGAAAGCGCAAAGGGCAAATGGAGGGCCACATACTTTATGGGTAACAGAAAAGCAACAAGACCAGTATAGTAAAGCAGAGTAGGTAAGAATAACAAACAAAGACTTGAAATCAAATAGGTAACATGGAGCCAAATTCAGTAGGCCTTCGTGAGCCATAATAAAAAAACTTGACTTATTATGACAATATTGTACATCTTTGTTTTTGGTACTGGGGATTAAACCCAGAACCTTCTCACTGAGCTACATTCCCCCTTTTTAATTTAATTTTATTTTTTAAATTTTTGAGACAGTCTCCCACTAAGTTGTCCAGACTGGGCTCAAATTTGTCACCTTCATGTTTCAGTCCCCCAGTTTGCTGACTATGTGCCACCATGCTTAGCTTATGGTATACTCTTGAAGTGACATTACTTGATATGGTGACAGGCTTACGATGGCTGATGTGTGGAAAATGGCCCAAAAGAAGCAAGGGCAGATGGAGGGGGACCAGCTAGGAAGCCTATGAATTAATGATCAAGATAAGAGCTGGTGTTTGTACCAAGGCAAG